AGAGAGAAGGGGGAGAACGGGGTGCGAAATGGAAATTCTGAATCATTCAGCCACAAGGCGAGATAAACGGTCGATAAATTGCCTCTTGCTGGCGTGTTCCAGAGAGCTCCGGGAGTCTGCGCCCTGGGTTGTGTCCCGGGCTGCACAGGGTGGGGGAACATCAGCTGGACAGTTCCTTCTGCGTGTTCCACGAGAAAAGCAGTTTGTGTGGTGATTGGCTTGACTTTCTTCTCCCTGTGCGGATTTAGCTTCGCGCTGAGCCTTTTATTTTTATTTTTATTTTCTTCTTCTGTTTTGAAAACATGTATTTGTGCGCTAGGGCACCTCCAGTTAAACCCTGTGCAAACAAAAAGCAGTTGTGTTGGTGGTAGATGGCAGTAACCAGCTCGAGGCGTGGCTGACCCGGCTAAATCGCCGAAGAAGAGCTGAATGCTTGGTTAAGCCACATGTTTGTTAGTGTTAATGGTTCTGCCTGGATTGCCCGATGACTCTGCTAGACCTTGAGTCAATAACAGCGACGCGGTGCTGTCAGCAGCGTGACGTTGGTCTTTGCTTCATTTTCTGTTTTACCAGGAGGAGAAATGTCCTCAAATGGCAGTGGGAGAGCTCTGCTGGAACAGATGGGCCGTTTGTTAAATTCAGTGCGGTTGTGATGAGTTATTCCCACTGAATGTTTGTCCTTTGTTCCTAAATCTCTCGGGAGGAGCCAAGGTGCACCCCTTCCCTGCAGTCGGTGTTCCTGTATGGAGCTGTTGCCTGTAGTGGATAAAGCATCATTGTGAGGCTCTTGGAAGGCAGAATTTCCATAGACCTTGCTCCTGTAAAACGTTGTCTGCTCGAGAGGGACAGCGCTGTTGTTTGGTGTTCATTTTATTTTTTTTTTCCCCTTTGGCTCTTTCCTGTGCGTTAGGTTCAGACTTATTTTTGGATGCTGCTGCTGCAGAGCCTTGCTGAGCAACATATGCCGGGATAGGCACTAAGCTCCAGATCACCTTTTTTTTTTTTTTTTTTTTAAAAAAAAAATTATTTATTTTTGGGGTTTTTTTCCCCTCTTGGCAGATGGTGGCAGCAATCTAAGCCTCGACTCCATTCCGATGGGCTTGCCAATGTCTGACCCGACTGCCTGGGCCACAGCGATGAACAATCTCGGGATGGCTCCCATGGGGATGACGGGACAGCCCCTCCTGCCCGGTACGTGAGCTCCCCCACTGCACCCACCTCTGCTTTCTTCATAGAATCACAGAATCATTCGGGTTGGAAAAGACCCCTGGGATCCCCGATCCCCACCACTGACCCTACTCTACAGAGCTCACCCCTAACGCATCTCCCCCAGCCCCACATCCCAACGGCCTTTAAACACCCCCAGGGGTGGGGGCTCCAGCCCCTCCCTGGGCAGCCTGTGCCAGGCTCTGACGGCTCTTGCCGGGAAAGAATTTTCCTGCTGTCCAGTGCTGCCCTGTTGCAGTTTGCAGCCATTCCCTCTGGTTCTATCGCTCATTCCCCGTGAGAAGAGACCAGCCCCAACCTCTACACCGTCCTGTCAGGCAGCTGCAGAGTGAAGAGGTCTCCCCTCAGCTCCTCTGCTTCAGGTTCAACAGCCCCAGCTCCTTCCATCGCTCTCATCAGATTTATTCTCCAGGCCCTTCCACAGCTCCGTCGCCCTCCTCTGCCCTCGCTCCAGCCCCTCGAGCTGGCACCTTTCCCTGTGCCTTCCTCTGAAGCGCCTGTTTCGTGGCACAGCGTTTGCTCAGATCTGTGTTTTTTAGTGTGACTGTTTGTGTGTGGTGTGAAATGAACGGTGACACTTAACGCGGAGCCCAAGGAAATCCAGGTTAGGCAAGCAGAACAACGTACATGAACTGTAGAAACGGAGCCACAGGTAAAATATTTCAAAACACAAAGGAAAGCAAAATTCCAGCCAAATTCCAACTTCCATACTGGACTCTGCAGGTTGCCTTGCACCCAGATTACTGTAAGTCGTGGCTGTAAAGAGAGGAATGTAAAAATGTTTGCCAGCCTTAGGGATATGAATAGCATCTGAAGTGGTGCCAGCTTAGGATGAAAGGAAAACGCTGCCGCTGCACCACCCGTTTCTGCCTATTTCTAACTTTTGTCTGTGCCTCGCAAAATTAGTTTTATCCATACGCTACAGGTTTCTGTATAGGGGTGATAAAATACCTCCCGGGGAAGGTTGTGACACTGGATGGGAGATGGGTTCTGTGGAGCAGGAAGGGAAGTAGCTTATTTATACAGAGAAAATGTCTTGGGCTGAGGCAATCCGCAATGAAACAGTTTTAACAAGATTGTTCTAAGGGCACAAATGTAAAGTTCTGGTGAGTCGTATTGCGACGTTCCCTCTCCCTCGCCGCTTTGCAGCTCCTTTTCGCTGGCCCGCGTGGGGAAAATATTGCGCTTGCTGTCCGACTGACCTGGTCCTGTGTGAGTCCAACCTGCTGCCTGACTGCCTCGTTCTCTCCCTCCTTTAGATTTTGATCCTGCTCTTGGGATGATGACCGGAATCCCTCCCATCAACCCCATGATGCCAGGCCTGGGCATCGTCCCACCTCCCATCCCTCCGGACATGCCTGCTGTGAAGGAGATCATTCACTGCAAAAGCTGCACTCTCTTCCCACCTAACCCACGTAACTGCTGATTTTTTGTCCTGTTTCTGCCTGTCTATAAAAGAACGGGTCTGTGTGTGTGTCTATATATATATATATATATGTATGTATGTATATATATAGGCTGGACATAGCAGCTCTGGAGTGAGTCACCACGTCTAGGGGCTGGCAAGTGGGTGACAGAGGAATGGGAAAAGCCTGGTTTTGTCACAAAGTGTTTGCCATTTCCATCAATAGCCTTTTCACTTGTCGGATGGATAAGGACTGGGGAAGGCAGTATTCCAGTCCCCGGATATTTGAACAGAGCTGGGTGCTGGGCTGCGGCACCGTCGTGCTGTGTTACTCCTCTGAGCAGGCCAGTGGCAGTGGGAGGCTGCTGAAGGTTGAGTAAGGACACGATTCTTGGAAAAAATTAAAATTTAGTAGTGTACAGGCTTGCAGGAGCCTGTATGTGCTGCTGGCAAAGCTCATGTCTGCACATATATGTGTATTTTTATATATATATATATATAAAGCGCCTATCACCATATTGATAAACATTCTCCTCTAGCTGCAGGGACTGGTTTCGCATCCCACTTAGTGGGGATAGAGAGCGGAGCTCTGGTGCAGTGTTACTGGTGTGATGTGGGCTCCTCTCGCTTTATTCGCCGCTCCCCGAGACCGACTCAAGAAGAGGGAGGTGCTGGTGCAGGGGGAGAGGACAAATCTCTTAATTTTCTATATGAAGAAAGTGGGAAAGGCACTCGACGCCCACGAGCATCTGCCTCACCGTGCTTGTCGTGAGACGGGGTTTCTCACCACGAGTTGTTTCTTGCCAAGTGGCCTCGGGAGATGAGCTGTCAGGGTTTAGTGGCTGTTTGT